AGCTTCTACATTGCACTTGGGACTTTATCTTGCACTTTAATGTTATGGACATGGCTTCTTTCCTTAAACCTCACAAACCAACAACCTCTGCTACCTTCCCACTTTTCTTTTCATGTTTTTTTTGAGACAGGGTATCACTCTGTCACCCAGGCTGGAGTGCAGTGGCACAATCATAGCTTACTGCAACCTCTGTCTCCTGGGCTCAAGTGATCCTCCTATCTCAGCCTCCTGAGTTGCTGGGACTACAGGGGTGCACCACCCCATCTAGCTAATTTTTTTATTTTGTGTAGAGACAGGGTTTCACTATGTTGCCCAGGCTGGTCTTGAACTACTGGGTTCAAGCGATCCATCCACCTTAGCCTCCCAAAGTAATGGGATTATAGGCATGAGCCACAGGACCCCGCCTACCTTTCAACTTTTCTTTGGCAGCTTCCTCACCTCTCTCAGACTCTAGAGAATTGAAGAGTTAGGGCCTTGCTCTGGATTAGACTTTGGCTTAAGGGAATGTTGTGGGTGGTTTGATCTTTAATCCGGACAACTAAAAGTCTGTATCAGCCATAAATCTGTTTTTCTTTCTTATTATTTGTGTATTCACTGGAGTAGCACGTTTAATTTTCCTTTGCATTCACAATCTGGCTAACCATATGGCACAAGAGGCCTAGGCTTTGGTCTGTCTCGGTTTTCAGCATGCCTTTCTCACTAAGCATAATGATTTCTAGCTTTTGATTTAAAGTGTGGGACATGTGACTCTTCCTTTCACTTGAATATGTAGAAGCCAATTAGGCCAACAGTAAGACTATTAACTGGCCTAATTTCAATATTGCTGTGTCTCAGGAAATAGGGAGGCCTGAGGTAGGGAGAGAGATGGGGGGACAGCCTGTCAGTGGAGCAGTCAGAACATACAACATTTATCAATTAAGTTTGCCATCTTACATGGGCATAATGTGGTGCCCCAAAACAATTACAACAGTGACATCACTGATCACTGATCACAGATCACCATAACAGATACAATAATAATTAAAAAGTTTGAAATACAGCAAGAATTACCTACATGTGACATAGACAAATGTGAGTGCAAGCCATTGGAAAAATAGTGCCAATAGACTTGCTCAATGCAGGGTTGCCACAAACCTTCAATTTATAAAAAACGCAGTATCTGTGAAGCGCAAAAAATGAAGCATAATAAAGCAAAAGGCAATACAACAAGGTATGTCTGTATTGTAATGAAAAGCTACATGGGCAGAACTAATGACTTTTGAAAAATAAATTTTCTGATGTTAAAAATACCTTGCATTCTTGAGAATACGGTTGTTGAAGTTAGAAGTGTGGTTGTGAATAAAAATACGAGAATCTGTACATAAAATATTCTGCTAGGTTACTTAAAACAAAACCCACAGAATATAGACAATAGGAATAAACACAAAATTCACTGAAACCTACAGGGCCTTGGTGCACAGTCATGCAGAGTTCTCCATCTTGAAAGCCACTTTTTAAATGGTGGGAATTCCTCATCAGCTTATCAACATCTTAGCCTATTTGAAGTTAGGCTAAGTTTTTCTTCTGTGTTCCCTTGTGATAAATCATTGATTTTGAAGGCTAATTTTTGCCAGTCAAAAATTTGGTTGTGATAATGATCCTAAAATGTTAAAAAAGAAAACAAGAAAGGAAAGAAGGAGGGGAGGGATGATGGGAAGAAAAAAAAGAAGGAAAGAAAAAGGAGGAACAAAGTGCAGATCTGTTCAACTGAGAGTATTCTACACAGGTCTAATTTAATGATTGTGTCATGGTTTATAGTTCTTTCTTGTACATTTTAAATGGAATGAAGAATAGTTACATTATCTAAGGATTCAAGTACATAGAGTATGTATTTTTAAAAAATATTATTCAAATATAACAATTGCTTACTATTCAGGGTCTGTTGAACATCTTTTACCTAGCCCTAATCACTCAAATAAATCACACAGATGGACTTTTCAAACTCCTATCTGCAAAGTTGTGTTATACCAAAAACAGTGATTTTATGCAATAACAAGAACAGGACTTTATAGGTATGTAGATGCACTTCTGTATGATTTGTCAAATTGTATGAATATGTACAGTAGTACATATTGATCCTTTACAATTAAGTTAACATCTTTGATTTTCTATTCTAGAAATGAGGAGAGCTTGGATTATTAGGACACTAAGGGCCTTGGCACTCACTGCTCCATCTGCTTAACATACTCTTTCTTTGCATGATTTGCTGTCTTATTTCTTCAGGTCTCTGCTCCAACATAACCTAGTCACACAAAGACCCTGCCAGCACTCCCTATCTTCTTTGCCCTGGTTTTTTCCCTCCATTCATAGTAATTATCACCATTTGACATATTCTATATTCACTTTGTTTTTTGAGACAGTCTTACTCTGTCACCCAGGCTGGAGTGCAATGGTGCGATCTCAGCTCACTGCAACCTTGGCCTCCCAGGTTCAAGACATTCTTGTGCCTCAGCCTCCTGAGTAGCTGGGATTACAGGCGTGTGCCACCTCGCCTGGTTTATTTTTGTATTTTTAGTAAAGACAGGGTTACGCCACGTTGGCCAGGCTGGTTTCAAACTCCTAGCCTCAAGCAATCCACCTGCCTCAACCTTCCAAAGTGCTGGGATTACAGGCATGAGCCCCTTTCACCTGGCTCTATATTCTCTTTTTAATTTGATTATTGACTGTCTTCCCCCACTAGAATACAAGATCATGGTGAGCAGGGGCTTTATTTTGTTCATAACAGTACTTGGTGCATTGAAAGTGCATGATAAAGTATTTGTTGAGTGAGTGAATGAATGCTTAGGAAGGAGGATAGCACCTATTCATCCTCATAAAATTTGGAAAGACTCAGGCACATCACTAACATAATATCAAACGGGCTATAGGAAAAGATCTATCTATTTCAATTCTGTCTTCACTTTGGCTGAGACTTAGCCTGGATACAGAAGGCAGTCCATAGACTCTTCTTTCACAGATGGATGCCCAACCTGGCCAGGCTATTTAACAAATGCTACATACTTGCTCCCTACTCCAGTCTCCTCATTTGGCTTCAAAAGCCTGTCTAAAGGAGGAGAGGCTTCTTTATCTTGGTCGTAATGAGATGTGACTTTTCTCAGCTTAGAACCTTGAGAAATACACCTGCTCGTGGCCAGCACATATTGAGTAACTTTCTCCCAGGGTATACATTACCCCAGGGGGGAGATGGAGGCATTGACAGAGGTTGCATAAATCCTCTGGGTCACTCTGGTTCACTTCAGGCTCTCCAGTGCAAATGGACAGATAGGGTGTCCTTGAGGGACCTGAGGAGCTCAGAGCAGTAAGAGTGGATCAGTATTTCCTTATGAATCAGAATTAAGTCCAAGTCCCAGCTCTTACCTAAGTGGCATTGCTAGAAGCTTTTGATCTCTCTGGCAGCTTTAGTTTCTTATCTATGTAGCACAAGAATGCTACACTTTCTCACCTCCAGAGGTCACCTTCAGTTCTGAAGTCTTACTCCCACCTCTTTGCAGATGACAAAATGAGGCCCAGAGGAGGGACAGGTCTTGCCCAGTCACCTAGCTGATGAAATCTAGAAACAGGACTGGAATTCAGGTTCCATTATGGACTGAAACTTAGTTCTCAAGCCCATGGATCTCAAACGTCTCAGTTTTAAAACTCTTTGATCATGAGCCTCTTTGGTGAGAAACGGATTCCATGGGTCATTTAAGTAAGTGGCAAGTCAAACTCTATGATGGGTAATAGGAGGGGACATAGAAGAAAAAAACAAAACCTGAAGATAATTAGTCTCACTTAGGATACTATTCTAGGACTCTGTTGTCTGCTCTTACAGAAACTTACTATAATCAATGAGGTAAATGGGGTTACTTTTGATGGCACAAGTAAAATTTGTATTTATAGCTTTATTAAATATCATGAATGTGCACTGATTCATTAATGATAGACTTTATAGCAAGACTGGATTACATTAGTTGGGCACAAAATGGCAGTAATTTGTACTACAGGCTTTGAGAATATGTGTTTTATGACTTACCTCACTATATGTTCGACTTTGTAGTAAGACTAATCCTAAAATCTCCCAACCCTTCCTTCTTCTATATTCAATTACTTTTGTTTATCTAGCTTCCTTCCCTTCCTTTCCAAGATATATCTACATCTATTGTTTCACTTTATTCTCACTTTATAAAATAAAGACTACACAGTATGGAGATTATTATATTGATGGTAGAAAATGAAGAAATTGGAATGCGCAGATGTTAAAGGAATGCTAAAAAAAAGAGAAACATTGGACTGTATGTTACCTATCCACATCTTCCATTTAGCTTCATTTGTTAAATCTAAATAAGCAACGTACAGTTGGTATGTACTACCAGTCAGGATACAGCATTATCTTATCCTTACTATATAAAATTATACTCCCTAAATGGTATTCATTAATGAAGGAATTCACTGATAAATAATATTACAGATTTCACTTCTGTTTGTGAGCAAAACTTCTGAATGGCATTCATATGCTGAAAAAAGGCACTTGAGAGCAAATGCGTAGATAGAAGTAATCATTTTTGATAGGAGTCATAGAAGCCTTCCCGTGGGTCTCTGTTTATATACGCATAAAATTGGCATCATGATTATATAGTAAAAGTCTGTGGATAATTCTAACTGAAATACTTCAGAAGGGATTTTAGCATCTTGCCTTTAGCATATTACCCAGCAATAATTGTAATAGAAATGATGATGATGATAACTATATTGAGTTACTTACTAAGTGCCAGGTACATATTATCTCATTTAATCCTACATGTAACAACCCTGTGAGGTAGGAGCTGTTTTTATTCTTGTATAGGTGAGAAAACTGAGGCACAGAGAGGTGACATAAGCTTGTCCAGAGTCCCAAGGCTAGTAGTCTGGTTCTTAGGTGTGAGTGGCCATGATTATGGACATGTGAAAGGTTTGCTGTTTTAACAAAGACAAACCCGACCTACCATTCTGAAGTCCTCTTCAAACTTGAAAGCTCCACCTCCTGTAGCACACAGGGTGGTGTGAAGGCTAGAGAAGTTTTTCTCGCTGCCCATCTGAATGAACCTGTGCATAGCACAGCTGGGAAAGCGGATGAAGTGCAGGTTCCCTTTGCGTCCACACATGGTCAGGTTTTTCAGTTCCAGGTGGACATCTCGGATCCCAGTTTTCCCATAAGCAGTATTAGAAGTCAAATACTTCCGGATGCTCTTCAGGTTCTCTACTTCCTCTTGCTCCTCTTCGGCTGTAATATCCTTCGGTTCGAAGTAGACCAATTTAACCAGCGTTCCACCGATGTCCATGCCAAACCATGGGAATGCTAAAGGACAGAAAGAAAGAGCGCTGCTGAAAGCTATGCGTGCAAAGAAGTGTTCAGTTTTTCAATATTAAATAAGCAAATGCAGTGGTGTCATATCTACATGTGCATTTAACATTCAATTTATTTGAATTCAACTACATGTGCCTGGAAGGAGTCACAGATAGAGAAAATTTTACAATTGAAAGAGTGCCCATGGCTCTGCTCACACGCCACTGCACTCCACTCAGAATTGAGTGAGATGAGAAATAGGATTCTGCAGTTCCCTAAGGCAGTCTCAATTCCTGTGTGCTTCCTAGGGCTCAAGTATCTCACCAAGCCGAGTGTTATTCTAATATTTAAATATAGATATATGTATTTTTTGCATACATCCTGGATCCCAATTCCTAACTATTTTTGTCAGAATCTTCACCAAAGAAACTGATCTGCTTCAATCCTAGAGGAAAAATTGACCATGCTGGGTGTACCAAGAGATGGTATGTTGGTCTCTAACCTAGGGCGCATTTCAGTGATTCCATTTTTTTGCTTTATGAACTGACTTTAGAAGATGTGATTCCACTGTTTTAATCTATACAATATATAGAATGGGGAAAGAGAGAGGAAGTAGATTACGAGAGATGATGCGCAGACACGAAATTCTAAAAAGAACAACTCGCATTATATCTGATTTCTTTCTGCATTAAACAGAGACATACTGTCTATTCCAAATAGCCTGCTCAGAAGTTTTCAACATGGCTGCCTTTTAGAATCAGCTGAGAAGCTTTTAATATTCAATTTCTGGCCTCTTCTCGCACATATTCTGTTTAATTCAGGCATGGTATCCAGACATGAATATCTTTTAAAAGTTCTCTAGTGATTCTAATCTGCAGACTTGGAAACTAGTAAACCAGAGGAACCATGGCCAGGTCTGAAATACAAAGGCATGCCTCTAGGTGAAAGTATACTTAATGTGCTTGTGACACTTATCTATGATAATATGAATCTCCATCATGATGATTTTTATTGTTATAAAAGCTCTTTATTGTTAAGAGCTGACATGAGCAGAGGTGAGCTACCTAAACAGTCTGACTTTATTTAGAGACAGCCTGGAAAGTTAATGCCATACTGTCAAATGCTCTGCAACGAACACAGAGCAAACCCAAATGGGAACCCAAAGGCTGGAGTCTTCCTTTTTATTTCCCTCACAGAATCCATTGGCAAAACCTGAAACTGTAATATTAAAGCTGAGTTTAAAGACTCAGGGTGCAAAAATAGCTTCCTTCCAAGTTTCTTTTATTTCAGCCCTAGAGAACATCCATATAAACCCTTGTCAAATTCTCTACACTGCCAGAAACATCAGTGGGCCCTACAGAAGGTCTTTTTTCTAGGCACCCCTACTAATACTTAGTTTTCAATTCAGGAGGGCTGAGGGAGGACTGCCAGGCAGGAAACCATTTCTGTAAACAAAATCTTCTTTCCTCTGCCTCACTATTGTTATTTCGGTTATGATCCAAGATAGCTGCTTCTCACCTGTTGAGCAGAAACTCTAGCATTATAGAAAAGTAAAATTCCAGGCCCTCAAAAGATTAAGAGCAACAAATTTCACTGACAAGACCAAGTTAACAAATGTCTTGTTTTCTTTGCAGACGTTTGCAAAGCAAATTCCACAACCAGTGTAGGCTGGGAAACTCGCTTGTCCTAGCAGGAGATGAAAAAACTGGAAACTGGTCATCCCCATTTGTTGATTCAGCTCACAGATGAAGTCTGTTGGTTTATTCGCTAAAACTCACTGTCAGCATGGGCCACAGTGCAGGAGCAGCATGTTGTAATGGGTAAAGCCCCAGATTGGGATTCGGAACATCTGCTTCCCTGAAGCAGCAGACAGTAAGTAGCTCACTGTAACTCCTTCCACCTCTTTGGATTTTAATTTCCTTATCTGTAAAAGGAATGGATTGCATTAAAATGATCTTGAATTTCTTCCCTGCTGTCAACTTTCTATGAATTCTTTAAGAAATACAAAAGAAATATTGCAAGTAACCCAAATCATAGAGTCTGACCACAGTTTTTTTGGGTGGAGTTTTAAACTCCCCGGAAATATACTATGGCATGTTAACAAATGCCTGGGCTATGCCACTAGTGCTGCAGTTGCAATCCATTCTCATCAGAGCGGGGAAGCTGCCTACAATGGATAGGATGGGGGAAGGGTATTTTGGAACATTGCTGGGAAATATTTTGGAAATATTTTGACAACATCTATTACAATTGAAAGTACACATGCATTTTTAACTCAGCAAAGCCCTTTCCTGGGCCATAAAAAAAACACAAGTATTCCAGGATAGGCATAAGAATGTTCACTGCAGCATCTTTTATCATGCTCAAATCAAAAAACAAAAACAAAACCAAGGCAAATTGGAAATAAGATGAGTGTCCTTTAACAGGGAAACTGTTCAATAAAATATATGACTTCCAAACTGTAGAATATTAGGCAGCTATTAAAAAGAGAGTGAGGCCAGGTGCAGTGGCTCACACCTGTAATCCTAGCACTTTGGGAGGCTGAGGCAGGCAGATTGCTCGAGTTCAGGAGTTTGAGACCAGTCTGGGCAACATGACGAAACCCCATCTCTACCAAAATACAGAAATTAGCCAGGTGTGGTGGTGCACGCCTGTAGTTCCGGCTACTTGGGAGGCTGAGGTGGGAGGATCACATGATCCAGGGAGGCAGAGGTTGCAGCCAGCCAAGATTGCACCACTGCACTCCAGCGTGGGTGACAGAGTGAGACCCCCCCAATCCTCAAAAAAAGAATGAAATCTATTTCAGTAGGCTAGAAATATTTCCCGAATCTTCTGTTAATAAGAAAAGCAAGAGATGCCTATAAGTGTAAATAACTTTTTAAGCCTATTTGGTTTAGGGAGAAGAAGGGAGGAAGGAAGTAAGAAGGAAGGAAGGGAGAAGAGAAGAAAGGTAGGAAGCATAGTCTCTAATATGTTCATGATTATATGAGCCTGCGGAAAAGCATAGAAGGCCCCCAGTTGTTAATATGTATAGGAGTGGCAGAATGAGTAGGTTGTATAGCTGGTGGCTAGAGATCCAGGAAAAGGGATTCTACACTTAGAGCTTTCAGTACATGCAGATAAGAAAAAAAAAAAAGAAAGAATTATGCAGTAATGGAAAATAGGAGGTACTTCAGCATAACAAGAACCGAACAAGCTGTGTAAACCCCAGAAAACAAACTAGTTCTGTACCAGAAATGCAGAACTGGCCCAGGTACAGCTGCTGTCAGACGTCTGGAAGGAAGAGCCCGCACATAACCTTTTACGTGGTTGGATGTTGGTAAATACAGGTAACTGAAAAGAGGTCTCACTTTTAAAACACTGTAGGTGACGCCTGAACATTTTATGTTGTTCAGAACCCTGGTTCCTTCTTCCTGCTTCATCTCCAGCTCATTCTGAAACTATTTCAAAGTTTTTCTTAGCAACTCAACAAAACAATTGGAAAAAGTATAGAGTTTGGAAATTTCAGCTAAATGTTATATCATTAGTTTGGATTAAGGTAAGAGAGATAAGAATTATCTTATCTCTGGGGTTTCACCATGTTGCCTAAGCTGGTCTTGAACTCCTGGACTCAAGTGATCTGCCCACCTCAGCTTCTTAAAGGAACTACAGTATTAGTTTAAGTGGCAAAAGAAATTGGCTTTTCTTTACCTTTGTTTATTTCTTACCTTCATGAAAAATCTAATGCTCTTCTAGTGACATTTATTGCTTTTTCAGGACACTGTCTTATATTAAATGTAAAATTTTATTCATCTTCCTGATATCAAGATCTGCCTAAACCTAAGCTTCCCATGCACAAGCTGTGGATGGAGACAGGAAAGAAGGAGAAGAAAGAACATCCTAGTGCAGCTATGATCCATGACTCACGTTTTCTTTAATCCAGGATACTCAGATGCTTTGATCAATTCAGCTGAACAACTAATAAGAGCTTATTCTGTGTTTGCCAAGAGGAGTGATGTTGGTTTTAGATACAGGAAGTTTGTATTCACCTCTTACTCCTCCTTGAACCACATGTCATTTTAAAATATTTCTAGAGTCTTCATCAACAACGTACAGCAGGAAACCAGGCTCAAACTTCACAGGAAGACTTTTGCAAACAAATAAACTGACCCACTCATTCAAAATGGTTTTCACTGTGGTGAGGTACGTATAAGCCAGAAACTGATGTTCATAAAACCAAGTGCTACAGATAAAATGGCTGTACATCCATCTTTGATCAACATATTTTAAATAAAAAGAACTAATTCCTAGAGAAAATTCTGTACATGTGCATGAGGAGACATACACAAAAATGTTCACTGCAGCAATTTGTAATAATAAAAAATGGTAACAATCTAGATGTTCATCAATATGTAAGTAAAATATGACATATTTATATGATGGAATACTACATCGTTATGAAAATCAATTATATTTATATACCTCAAAAGGCATTTTAGAGCTGTTTGCCTGTAGTCCCAGCTTCTCAAGCAGCTGAGGGAGGAGAATCTCTTGAACCCAGGAGTTCAAGGTTGTAGCATACTGACTATACCTGTGAATAGTCACTGCACTCTGGCCTAGGCAGCATAGCGAAAATCCATCTCTTAAAAAAAGAAAAAAAGAAAAAAAAAAGGACAGGCACAGTGGTTCATGCTTGTAATCTCAGCACTTTGGGAGGCTGAGGCGGGTGGATCTTGAAGTCGGGAGTTCGAGACCATCCTGGCCAACATAGTGAAATCCTATTTCTACTAAAATACAAAAATTGGCTAGGCATGCTGGTGGGTGCCTGTAGTTCCAGCTACTTGGGAGGCTGAGACAGAAGAATTGCTTGAACCCGGGAGGCGAAAGTTGCAGTGAGCCGAGGTCACTCTACTGCACTCCAACCTGGGTGACACAGCGAGACTCCATCTCAAAAAAGAAGTATCTTACTGGATAGGAACTCAAAAACAATGTTGAAGGAAAACTTTAGTGGTGGACAAAGGTCATAGATACAT